CCATAATTCCGACAGAACGCTTATGTATTCCCACCTTGAATTATTACTACGAGAAGTTCGCATCGCGGCACAGCTGTGGTGTGTGTGTGTGATATTGATCTCACGGCAGACAAGCTTACTGGCACACAGGGGTGTGTCCGAAAATGAACACCGCCCACACAAAGTCGAACCCGGGACAATTGAAAACCGCAAATAAAATTCGCAGTCGGAAGGTAACACGAGCAGATTTATCGCCTGTCTCAAGACAGCTCGTCATAACCAACTGGTACGTGACGAAGGAAAAGAAACTTTCAGTCGAAACATTTTTTGAAACGGTTAATATTTAAATAAGAATAATGTCAGACGAAACGTTTTTGCAACGCCAGGCCTTTTTTTACGTGAAATAACAGAATTTTTGTTTTTTAACAGATCACAATTAAGATAATTATAATCGTAGACTCGAAGAAAAAACACAAGGCCGGGAAACTCAGGTCCATCTCTTCACTTCTCTTTTACAAATTACATTTGCCATTCAGTACCACGCACCACCAATTTAAGGCAAAATCCCCGCAATTACTTGGAGAGACCGAGGAATCAGTTAGGACAATTACTGAACCCGAGACCTTGAAAAGACGACGCCAAATCGGAAAAGCGACAGACGCTGACTATTTTGTTAGCAAGACAGTCTGTCCGTCACACACAATATCAGATGATAGACGGTCAGCAATGTTCCGGATGCAGATATCGACTCCATCATCACCGTGTACCGCAAAGATGGAGGCAGCAGGTTCGTTCAAAAGTTTGCTAACCACATACAGCGGACGCCATGAAAACCTTGAGACAAAAACCCAAAAATTTTCAAGACCTCACAAACATGTCTACGCGTTTTAGTAAAAATTACTCCATTTGTGAACTGTTTATTCCCAGAAATCTGGGGTAAAATCTTTTTTTTAAAAAAATCACCACATATAGTGATCCATATTATCTCATAAGGCTCAAAGTCCGACTGGCCCAGTGTATATAAATATTTATACTGTACAATGTCAGATGGAGACGGTAGTGCCGTCGAGAAACCCCGCTGCTCTACAACCCGTCCATCAACGCGAGACGTTAACAGAACGCCTAGCTCACGCGGCAACTTCTCTGCCTCGTCTACAGTGCGAGTATTCTAAACAACGCGCTGCAGGGGCACCAATGGTGCAAACAAGGGACCGCGAGACGAGTGTACCTGTGCTGACACGTGACCTCGTTTCACGCGAGTAACCGCGTCTCTTTCAAACGTTCTGCTCCATGACGTGAATATTCGGAGGCGACTGTGACTTTCAAAAACCTCGAGATGGCTGTCTTCTGGGTTGTTGCGCCTGGCAGACATTTGCCGACGTTTCGGAGGTACTTTCCGACTCCCCTGATGATGGAGGCAGCACGCATCTCTGAAACGTCTGTGAACTTCTACCACGCAACCGCGTTGGCCGCCGTGAGAACCTCAAAACTTCCTCATATCTGATTATTTGCAGCAATAAATTATATCCCTGAAGCAGATAAGATGAATGTTGCTAAGTGACGGAATGAATTATCAGCCTCGTGTGAACATCGATATGCATGTAACTGCGGATAGATCGATCGATCACTCAATCAATCAATTTATCCATATAGTTATCAGCGAGCGAGCGGGTAAGCGGACACATCGTTATGCAAATTCCGACGCGGCTTAAACCACCCTCTGACGTCAGAGCTCCTGTTCCTTCCTCACTTAAAGTCGGACAAGGGGTGCACAAATTTCTGCGAAAGAGACCAGAAAAATTACGGCAAACAGGGACACCCTTTCACGACGCAAGCCACTTTACAAACACCACGGAGCAGCCCTCCTTGAAAAGCTAACAGTCGCGCAGTTAGTCAGAAAAATTGCACGCCTTTTTTTTTTATTTTACACGTTCATTTGTGTCCACGATTCCCCCCCCCCCGCCCCTGAGCCATACGCATGCAATCAACGGCCCTCAGCCCTATTTTCTTAAGATTCATTTTAATATTATCCTCCCAAGCGGCTTCTTTCTTTCAGGCGTCCGTCGTACAAGGCCTCTGTAGCCAACGTCGTTGTAAGTTACAGAGAGAAGAAGACCTTTCTCTGTGCACGCCGGAAAATGGTTCGGAACGTTTTCCCTGGTTACAGGATGAATCAGAGAGATTGACTTCTTTTGTGCTTCAATTTGAAACTACGGGGCATAAAACAGGATATGATTGGGGCGGGCGGGCGGCCAAAGCCGAGGTGTACGAGGACAGGACGCAGAAAAATGGAACTTGCGGAGGAGAGAAAGGACAGCGAACAAGCAGAGATGCCAGACGCACGCCCCGTCCTCGAGGTCACAAGAAACGTCTTCAAGTGACCGCATCGTAAGCACGCAGATATCCCCTGTAAGAACTGTACGTCACACCCAGCAACTTTCATACCAACCCCAGACGTCCAACTGAACTATTGACATACGCCGATGATTTAAGTTCGCTTTTTCCACCCCTAAATCTCGGCTTCCCTTCGCCCGAAATCTTTTTTCCGTTCAGCTTTGACAGCTTTCGAATGAATGCGACTCCGATAGCTTAGTCAGTATAGAGACTGGCTACGGGCTGGACGACCGGGGTTCGATTCCCGACAGCCTCCTATCAAATGGATCCCGAATTCGCTGACCACTCACCCCCATCTAGTGCCGAGGTTAAGAATGAGTAGCAGCTACACCACCTCTCCCCCCAAACGACCTACATGGCGCTCAGCGAGACGGCTTTGCTTTACTTTATTATGACTTTTCTGGACTCCGTCCGTCAGTCTACAGCAGTGGTATTCAACGTTTTGTGTTCGCGTACCCCCAGATATAATTTCTCTTCAACTTTGTACCCCCAAAGTTGTTGGTGTATAATTCAAGTTATATAGAGTATGTAATCTACATCTGAAATAAATTAAATAAATTACATTACTGATTATTTAGTGTTTATCATAAAATAATATATATTTTTTAAAAATTTCACGTATCCCCTAAGATGTCTTCGCGTACCCCCAGATATAATTTCTCTTCAACTTTGTACCCCCAAAGTTGTTGGTGTATATAATTCAAGTTATACGTAGTATATAATCTACATTTAAAATAAATTAAACAAATTACATTACTGATAATTCAGTGTTTATCATAAAATAATTTATTTTTTTCAAATTTCTCGTACCCCCTAAGATGTCTTCGCGTACCCCCGGGGGTAGGCCTACCCCAGGTTGAATACCACTGGTCTGTACCATTTCACGGATCCACATTAAACTTGCTTTGAGAAGCCTGCACTTAACAGAGGCAGGCGGGCGAACTTTGTACACACCTGTTCTACTTCTGGGCGAGGCCCGTTCAACCCGTTAATCGGACTTCATCACACGCATAAAATCACGGCTCATCGATCAAAGAACGTCACAGATATTGTGTACTTAATGAAGACGACGAAACTTCCGTTCGCACTAAACCTTTGCAGAATCCCTCGCATTTCTTCCCATTGCCGTTTTTATCGCAACTGCCGAAAACCTGCGTCAAGTTCTGCGACGATGAACCGACTTTCTCTCTTTCCCCAAAGCCGCGAAGATCACGATGAAAGATGAAAGAAAAGGATTTCTGTCTTCCTTTCATATGGACGGCGTTTCTCACTGGTGGATGAAACATTATAATGTTACGTGCCCAAAACACTCACAACA